TAATAACTTGTGGGTCGGATCATCCTACATGGGGGACCCACGACCCGTATTTTTCTAACACATAGCTTTCCCACACATCTATCACAATCACTATCACAATAAAATTAGTTTATCTAAAAATAATAATATAAGAGAATATAGCCTATTTAAACACAAGTGTCAAAAGTAAACTTCATCCGCACTACCATCTTCACAATTTTCTTGCTATTATTTCCAAGGCTTTACATTCAACAATCAAAAAATAACAATGAGCTATCAAGATACATATATCAGATTATCTTGATCAACACGAAAAAAAAAATGCAATTTATTTACCATATTTCTTGTCAATGGGCTCAACTCTTCCATATTTGGAGAACAATTGCTCCAAATCCAACTATCGAGTCTCGTACTCGAAGTTTCCACAGAATATTAGCCTCATCATCAATACCACTACTCCCAAATTTACCTAACATGAAAACACAAAGACATATACATATACTACCAAAATATATAGCCAATATTCAACGGAAACACAAAGTTAAAATTGAAAAAACAAAGAACCTAACAAAGTTGTAAAATAAATATTCATCTAAAATTTGTGAATAACAAAGAATCTGTCAAACTCCAATCCAATAGCCTCTCAAACATTGGAGAGATTTCTCCAAATGAGGCAAAATTAATTTATGAAAAAAGTTGGATATCTTCATTTTCTATGAATTCTCTTCACCTCTAATAAGTTCAAGATAACGAGCCAAAGAGGGCACTTAGACAAAACCAAATGAATATAATACGGTAAAAAAAAAAAAACACCCATCCTCAGATGCAGTGTCGTTGTCATCTCTGGTGGTTGAGGTTTCTGATTCCTTATTGTTCTTCTGCTTCCAACATCTCCACCGCCGCTTGTTTTCCTGCGATTTCTTGGCGGTAGTGTTGTTAGGGTTTCAGACACTCAAATCTCCAAGATGGCTGAAGGAGAAGGGAAATGGAAGCTCAAAAGGTTTTGGGAGCTGCTCTCAAGTCTTGTCATTTCTGCTTGATTCGATTTGACGGTTTCATTGTCGGATTGTGAAGGAAAATTGAGGGTTTGGGGAATGAAATGAAAATGGGCAACGCAAACGGTAATATCTCAAACGACATTGTAAATGGTCAACGATTGGAAATTATGACATGTGTCCAAGATGTACACTATCGAGAGTTTGTTTGATGCACATTTTTTAAGGAAATAATGCATTTTTTTTGTAATGTGATAAAGAATATGTGATTGAAAAAAAAAAAAGTTATTGATGTGATGAAAAATATTATTTTATTAAAAATGTGTTGTTAAAAATGAATGGAAGAATGAGAATGAAAATAAGAATGTGAATCAAACCAGGGGCTTAGCCTATTTCATTTATGTGTATGTATGTACGCATGTAGATGGATAGAAGATGTAATGAGAACTGGCACTTGTCGATTGGCTTTATTTAGATACAACAAATGAGAATTGACAATATATATAAAAAAAAAAGAATTACCCCGGAATTTGGAAATATTTACTTCTCATACGTGTTTCTTTATAATCAAGAATGGCTGGCTGTTTTGTTTGGCAGTCAATTGGTGAATACAATGCAATGAATCCTCAAAACGTGATTTTTTTTTAATGAACACGTTATAATAATTTTTTTTTTTTTGGGTGTATCCAATAAGAACCATTTAAATTTTAAAGTTGCACAAGATATGATTTAAAAAGTGAATTGACTAAATATAGTACCCCGTATTGCCAGAAACCATACGGATACTCACATGGGGGTGGCCCCATGTGAATTAAATATTACAAAAAAAAGGGACCCACACCTATGTGTGTATTTTGTATAGTTTCTATTTCTTTTTTCTTCTGTACATGTAGAAGTGTTTTAAAATTATAATTTCTTTCTCTTCTCTCTTCTTATCAACTACACATTAAAAATTTTTAATGAATCATCAAAACGTGATTTTTTTTTTAATGAACATTTTTGATCCCTATTAAAATTTTAAAGGCGAACAAGAAATGATCTAGAAAGTGAATTGACTAAAAATAGTCATGTTTGACCCTGTTAAAATTATAACTCATTTTTCCTTTTTATTGTCAACCACACAATTTTTAATAAAATAATATTACACGTAAATCCAAAAAAATTCTCATTTTTTTAACGACACATTATTCAAAAAATATTATTTCAAAAATTAAAATCGGAAATAATGGGGGACCAAACAGAGGCTATCATATCATAATTTCTAATAACTAGACTATATTTTAATTGTTTAGGAGGTTCATAACCTTTATATATTATCACATTTATGTTTCAACGTTTTTTCATCTTATTCTTCCTCTCAAAGTAATATAAATTATATTTTATTATGGTTTCTCTCCAATTTTTTTTTTTTTTTTT